TCATCAATTATGTTTTTGTTAGGCAACACACTAGTACCCATCGTGTTTTTTATACGTAATACACTACTCATCAATTATGTTTTCTTGTGTATTACACTAGTACTCATCAGTTATGTTTTTGTTGTGTATTACACTATTGCTCATCAATTATGTTTTTGTTATGTAATACACTAGTACTCATCGTGTTTCTGTTACGTAATACATTAGTACTCATCAACTATGTTTGTTATGTATCACACTACAACTCATCAATTTCGTTTTGTTATGTAATACACTAGTACTCATCAATTATGTTTTTCTTGTGTAATACACTCGTATTATAGTTACGTAATACAATAGTACTCATCAATTATGTTTTTGTTATGTAATACACTAGTACTCATCAATTGTTTTTGTTACGTAATACACTAGTACTCATCAATTATGTTACAAAATATAATAGTGCTCATCAATCATGTTTTTAGGTAATACACTAGTGCTCATCAATTATTTTTGTTATGTAATACACTAGTATTTTTGTTACGAAATACATTAGGACCCATCAGTTATGTTTTTGTTATGTAATACATTCGTATTTTGTTACGTAATACACTAGTACTCATCAATTATGTTTTTGTTGTGTAATACACTAGTACTCATCAATTATGTTTTTGTTGTGTAATACACTAGTACTCATCAATTATGTTTGTGTTGTGTATTACACTAGTACTCATCATTTATGTTTTTCTTGTGTGATACACTAATACTCATCAATTATGTTTTTATTATGTAATACACTAGTACTCATCTTGTTTATCTTACGTAATACATTAATACTCATCAATTATGTTATTGTTGTGTATCATACTAAAACTCATCAATTACGTTTTGTTATGTAATACACTAATATTCATCAATTATGTTTTTCTTATGTAATACACTAGTACTCATCAATTATGTTTTTCTTGTTTATTAAACTAGTACTCATGGTGTGTTTGTTACGTAATACATTACTACTCATCAATTATGTTTTGTTCTGTATTACACTAGTACTCATCATTTATGTTTTTCTTATATAATACACTAAAACGTAAGAAAACACGATGAGTACTAGTGTATTACATAATAAAACATAATTGATGAGCCTAACAAAAACATAATTGATTAGCACTAGTGTATTACGTAACAAAAACAAGATGAGAACTAGTGTATTACACAACAAAAACATAATTCATAAGTACTAGTGTATTACATAACAAAAATATAATTGTTGAGCACTAATGTATTACGTAACAAACACACCATGAGTACTAATTTAATAAACAAGAAAAACATAATTGATGAGTACTAGTGTATTACATAACAAAAACATAATTGATCAGTACTAGTGTATTACATAACAAAAACATAATTGATGAATACTAGTGTATTACATAACAAAACGTAATTGATGAGTTTTAGTATGATACACAACAAAAATATAATTGATGAGTTTTAGTATGATACACAACAAAAATATAATTGATGAGTTTTAATGTATCTAACACACTAGTACCCATCGTGTTTTTATACGTAATACACTACTCATCAATTATGTTTTTGTTGTGTATTACACTAGTACTCATCAATTGTGTTTTTGTTTCGTAATACATTAGTACTCATCGTGTTTTTCTTACGTAACACATTAGTACTCATCAATTATGTTTTTTGTGTATTGCATTAGTATTCATCAATTAAGCTTTTGTTGTGTATAACACTATTACTCATCAATTATGTTTTTCTAATGTAATACACCTGTATTCATCGTGTCTCTGTTACGTAATACATTAGTAGTCATCAATTATGTTTTGTTGTGTATTACTCTAAATCTCAACAATACGTTTTGTTATGTAATACACTAGTACTCATCAATTATGTTTTTGGTATGTAATACACTCGTATTTTTTTTACGTAATACATTAGTACTCATCAATTATGTTTTGTTGTGTATTACGCTAGTACTCATCAATTGTGTTTTTGTTTCGTAATACATTAGTTCTCATCGTGTTTCTCTTACGTAACACATTAGTACTCATCAATTATGTTTTGTTGTGTATTGCACTAGTACTCATCAGTTATGTTTTTGTTGTGTATTACACTATTGCTCATCAATTATGTTTTTGTTATGTAATACACTAGTACTCATCGTGTTTCTGTTACGTAATACATTAGTACTCATCAATTATGTTTTGTTGTGTATTACACTATTGCTCATCAATTATGTTTTTGTTATGTAATACACTAGT